GAGCTACTTCTTGGAGTTAGTTTGCAAATTAAATAGAGGAGAACAATAATGAACAGCTAGGATGCTGCTTGACATGTAGTTTCTGATTAGTTATAGTTACTATTTTTATAGAGAGCTGAACCATTCGAAATCTAAATCTGTTTGCTGCCGTGATGAATTTTCGTTAAGTGTGGATCTCATTAACTACATGAAGATCAGTCAATATCAGGAAAATGTCTCTCCTTCAACTCTGTAGCAGACTTTTGCAGTGCACTCAGTCCCTGGCTCTCCCCTAGATGTTTCCTGTGCAGAGGTCCCATACTGTCCTGAGAACATGCTCTGGTCATGGAAATGCAAGGGAGTTGGCATCCCAGACGAGACTCTCCACCAGTGACAGATGGTAGCTGACAGATCACTACTTTATGATCTAGGCTCCTTGGGGTCATTCTGAGGTGTGTTCATATGGTCTTGGACTGGCCCTGGTTGGACTGAGCCTCAGATGCCCAAAGTGCTTAAACCACTCATTAACACACTTCTTAGGATCTTGCTTTCCTCCTTGTCTCGCTTGCCCACTTCCTCATCATGCATCCTGTGATCACTTCCAAAACAACCTCTTGTCCAAAGATCTTTGACTCAGGTCAGCTTCTGGAGCATCAAGATAAACTTTCTATAAACCAAGCATGTATACTGCAACCTAGAAATCTTACTGGTATAATGCAACTTCTTGAAATAGACAGCATTTCCCCAGCTCTGAAAATGTCCTTTCCCTTGGACATCTCCAAATCCTGGGACTAAGTTAGTTGCTCCAAGAAATTGGGCACCTAATTCCAATGCTTCTTTTTCTGCTTCTTCTGAGTGTCAGCCTGCCTGGATGCCTTCAGCACCCTTTCCTACTTATTCCCTTTCTTTCTAGCTTGTGAAATGACATTAGTCCACACCCTGAGCTTGTTCCTGGAGAGGAGGAAAACTTCAAGCAGTTAAATTTTTAATTAATCACTAGACTACTATTTAGAGGCTCTCCTTGAATGTTACTTATCTCTTTTCTATGGCTAATCCCAAGCATAACAAAATTTCTAGTTTGCCTTTACATTTCTTATAAATCTTTTCCCTCTTTTATATCTGAATAGTGTGTTAACTTTAGTTCAATCAACTCATGCTTGGTATTTTTAGACCACTTTATTTTGGCTGGAGATGCATAGCCAGGTCAACTCAATTTTTTCCTCTTCACCAGCCTTTACTCTGAGGCCCCTCATGAGTGAAATGGAGACTGACCATACAAATTCATTACCACTTTATTTAAAACAAATATAGAAGATCTTGTTCTGATAATAACACTGTTGAGATATAAAGGACAATACAGTACCAGATCTTATTTTTTCTCTATTGTTTTCCCATAGTCACATTTCTTTGCCATAGTCAGTCTGTTCTTAATATCACTTCAGTATAATGAGGAATTCATCTCTTTCATTTCTGACTTTTGTACTGATTAAGCAAAGACTTTCATATACCTGATCCTTTATATGAATGAAATGTATATGATCCTTTATATGATGATCCTTTATATGAATGGATTAAAGTTACATCTATATAACTGTAATTCAGATTGAAAATATTGCCTTAAGTGTTGGGAATAAAATTAACCTAATACCCAAGTTGTTCAATAAGCCTAAAATTCAGTAAAGACATATTTCATGGGGATGGAAGATAAGGAAGGCAAATTTTCCCCCAAAAATGAAATCTAGATATCTTTAAAAAATCTTTTATTTTCTGGGTATCTGATATACAAATAAAATAGCTTTTCTTAAAAGTCATATTGAGGAATGACATTTGAAACTGGTCTTCAACTGTTTTTAAAAAATTATCCTTTCGTTTGTGTTTATTCTGTCCATGAATTCACAATATTTTGAATACTATGTTATAATGAGAGCAACCTAGGCTGTAATGCAGTCCTTGTGTCCCTGTGCAGATGAGTCTTTGCTTTCTTCAGTGGCCTATTACCTGGAAATGAGAATCATTAACTTGGGCAACTTGGCTCTCTTTGCAACAGACATACAGTAATTTAATCGCAAATCCTGGTGATTGAGAAGGTGAGCTTATTTAGTCAGACAGTCTCTATTTTGTAACTCTTAAAGGAGTAGAGGTGATCTAGGACTTAACTGTTAAAAGTGCAATTAAACTGTGTAGCCTCCAGGGTTCCTAGTTGGTCTCGTTAATTCCACTGTGGAGATGTAGCCAGGATACTGTACTGGGGAAAGCAAGTTTTGAGTGCTACCTTAGCGAAAATTGAAATTTCAAATTTAAGTCCTCTCTTTCTTTTCTTGAGATATATGTTTAATGTTTTGCAACAGAGAATTGAATGTCTTTAGAGAGTGGTGTGAATAGCTTATAAAATTTCCAGGAATTTCTATCAATTGCAGGGACCAAGTAATGTATTTAAGTCCAGTAGCAATCCCGACTAAGTAAATCCTTCTCTGAAAACTGATCAGGAGATTCCATCAGTGAGGGACATTCGGATATAAAGTTCCTTAAAAGAATAGCTTTTTGGAGGAGGTGTTTCTTCCAAACTGTCTATAGGTTTCTGCTCTGGTTACAGTTTTTCATTTTGTTTATTTGATTTTTAAGTGCACGCACTCGGACCCCAGCTCTGAGAGTGATGAACCCCAGAAACAATAATTTCTTTAGAATCTCCTTCCAGTGAATTACTTCCCCCGTAAGGTCCTCTCAAAATTTAGTGTTTTGCTGTTTATCCTTCTAGACAGTTCCCTCTTTGCCTAATCTCAGAGGATCTGCTGAAAACAATGGAGTGTAACGTCTATTGCTTGAAAGAAGACATCTTTTTCAGTAAACATATCGACATATTAAATAATGAGGAATGAGCTTTGAAGCCACCATGTCAGCTTGGGATATTATGTTCAACATGAGAAATCCTAAAAGTACATATAAGAAGAAAAGTGAAGTCACTTCTAAAAGGAGAGAATTCTAATATTACCAAATTTGGTGTCACTAAAAGGAAATAGATGAATAAAAGATATAGTTCTGGAGAAAAATGAAATGATTAATGTTTGCAGAGAAAGAAAATGTAGTTTAGTATGATCCATCACCAAAAAGGGCATTAGTAAGGAACTTGCTAATGATATAACTTGAAAAGAGTTCTCTGTTTACTTCCAGTACTATACAATTTTAAAATATTGTGTAGTTTCTATTAGAAAAAAATATTTTCCAAATCTAACTATTTCTTCAGTTCATGCTTAGTAGTCTTTTATTATTTGTTGTAATAATGTTAATCATCTCAGATACAGAGAGACTTATATAATGAATCCTCAAGTACCTCCTTCTCAAATTCAACCATCATCATATCATTTGGTAGATTGCTTTATTCTCCCAGTTCAGGACAGCACCTCTAAACACTTCATTAAAATTTTTAATTACATAAAAACCAATAGTTTTTTCAATACACACACACACACACACACACACACACACACACATTAGTGGACATTTTTACAGAGATGCCACAAAGTGTTGATCATCTTTCTTATAAATTTCTTGTGACTGTCCCTAACAGTCCCTAACGGTACATTAGGGACAGTAAGAATCTCAGAAGCCCTTTTCCAGAATTATTTTCTATCCTGGATACCTCCTCTGAGGTCTCTGTACTTGCTTCGTGTTCCTATAGTTCAAGGACAATTCGGGTAAACTCCTGACTCCCACACCTAGTCCCTGCAGTTCTGAGAGGTGTCACTCAGTTCCAAGGGTTTCTGAGAATTCTTTTTCTCTTCCAAGTATATATAAAAAAAATTAAGTACTGATCAAATATATTTACCCTTCTAACCTTGCCTCAGTGGCATTCAAACACTATGATGCAATCAGCTGGTATCATTCTTTAATTAGCCTTTATAAAAATCATAGTTTTTGAACATTCTTTTTAAATCTTACATTAATGCTTGAATGCTAAAAATGTCCCCTTGTAGCTATTACTGTTTGTTTATTTAATACTTTTTTTACTGTATTCCTCTTTTTTTCTAGGTCATGCAAATTTATGTTTTCTGTGATAGCGTTTGATCTTTCTAGGCGGTCTGATGTACTTGATAAGCTTTCAACTTGTTAGTCAAGTTGAAGTTTCAGTTATATTGGACACAGCTGTGAAATAGGAGTCTCTCTTCCTCACTCACCTGAAAGTGTTCCCCTTCAGGCAGCCAAACCAAGAAAAAGATTTTATTAACTAAAGAGAGAATTAATGGCACCATGTCAAATAACTCAGCTGGAAAGCTTTTGTTTGTTTTCTTTCTTTCTTTTTTTTTTTAAGTAAGAATGCTAAATGTAAAAACCTCAGAAGGGAAATCAGACTAACCAGCCTAAGTAATCCAGCCCTGTTAGCCTAGCTTTTAGCTAGATAAATAAGAATTCAAGTTAATTCCTTACTCAGAAGCTGGCTGCCAATTTGCCAAGTGATTGATTTGATGCTAATTTTCTGCATAGACCTCTCATTTCTTTCAAGGCCTGCCCTTGAAGGAAAATAAATTCAGCCAAGCTGACTGAGCCCTATTTCAGGTCTTACTTTGAATTCAGAAGGTTGGGGAATTTCCTTTTCCCAGCAGGACCCTTATCTTCAAGGCATCCTCTTTTAGGATGTTCCAAAGAATGCAACTCGACCTGAAAAGACTGCAGAAGTTTGTTTCTGTGTCCTAACTCCAGTACACTCTGTTTCTACGAGGTAGACTTTTTCAGCATCCACCTATGAGTGAGATCATCCAGTATCTGTCTTTCTCCGCCTGACTCATTTCACTTAAATGCCACGAGAGCCATAAGTCCTGAGCCAGAAATTCTCTCTCCACAACCTTTGGGCAAGTTACTTAAACCTCCCTGGTCTACACTGAAGGTTGAGGGACTTCAACTCATCCCTTTTTCTAGTAAGAATAAAAGGCAACTTTGCTTTCAAGACATTCTGCCTCTGTTTTAAAATTATGCTACCATGTTGGAACCTCTAGTTATAGGCTGATTTTCTTCCGCTTGCTCTCCAGGACCCGAAATTACGTGAACTTCTGGATGTGGGGAACATCGGACGTCTGGAACATCGCATGATAACAGTGGTATATGGACCCGACTTAGTTAACATCTCCTATTTGAACCTTGTGGCTTTCCAAGAAGAAGTGGCCAAGGTAGGGTGCGTACTTTGAAGGAACTTAGAAGTTGTCACCTTGATCTGAATTCTTATGACACTGTACTAATACCCCAAAGACTTTGAGTTTTTGTCATGTTTAACATGTGTTAAAAGTCCATCTAAAATAATTCAGCTACTGAGGAGAAGTATAATCAAACCCTTTCTAGTAATGGCATCTACTTAGAATTATGGAGATTTTTTTTATTAGCAATGAGGCATTTGATATAATAGGTTTGCAAAAGAAAATATAGGTAAAACCACATTCTATTTTACCTAAACACCTATCCCTATTCATTCTCTCACATCAGGCCACTTCCCACCCCACTGTCTTCCCAATACTCTGGGAGGGCAGGCATCTTTGGCACCTTTACAACTCATTTTTACCCTGTGCAGCAACTAGCCCATGACCATGCACATAGTAGCTGTTCAATTAATATGAGAAAGAATGAAAAACAAAATTTCAAATAATAATATTTAGTGATAAAGAATATTTATTCATCTATGGACCAAAAAGATAAATCACCTAAGGCCTCTCTATTAAGAAGTTGCTAATCTATTAAAATAGTGAGCTTTTCAGATGCATACAGAAATAAGTAGAGTATTGGTGAGATATATCAAATAAGAAGTTAAGAATGTTTGGGAACCTCAGACTCAAGTGTGATGCCTTCTCTAAAAAATCTAATTGTCTTAAAAAAAACCATTCAAACGAATGTATAGAAAGAGAATGTTTCTTTATTCATGTTTATAGGACACTAGTGATGATCTTTACCCTTCATACAAGTTCTTGCAAGAGTTACAAATATGAATCTAAGAATATTTTGAAGTCTGTGCATCATCTCAATACCCTTACAGAGCTTCTTACATCATGGACCACAAACACAGGGTCAAGTCAGGCCAGAGCTCTGACAGTTCTCTGAGCTTTACTGAATGTGCAGAGATGACCTCTGATTCTTTAGTGATTATGGTAGAGGTTTATTTCAACTTGTACATAACATCAGCTTCAAATCTTATAATGGAATGAATGAAATGCCAACCAGTTTTAATACTCTGAGGTTTTTAGAAACTATTCTCCAAGACTGTCACAAATCTAATCTACAGGGTTCAGCAGAAATAAGTCCTGCTTGAGTATGGTTGGTAGAGTAATAATATGGGTGTAATAATTTATAGTTTTAATTTGAACATTTGACCTAAAATGCCATATGGTGTGCTTGAGTGCGATATTGTTATGTTACAGAATTGCATGCCTATAATTTTATAATAAAAGATTTTGCAATAAGAAAGGGGCATTATTTGTGCCAGACCCTGTATTTTTTTCCCTTTAAGAACCGAGTCACCCATTTGCTCTATATTATGATTTATACTTGGAGAGACTTCAGTGAAACGGCTTCTGTGTGATAGCATTGTACTTGCCCTGTAACAGTTCTTATTCTCGTACCCCAGTAGTGTTGGGATGTTTATACTTAATCTCTCAGTATCTGGATGGAAGACGAATATAGTTAAACCCTAAGTATTTGCCAACTACTCTTAAAATACCTTTCCTCGGGTTTTCAGGAACATGTATAAAGGACACAAGGACAAAACCAAAGTGGGGGAGGATCAAGGGTGGGAAGTGGGGATGGCTGGGGTTGAGGGGAGTGGTGAGGGAAAATGGAGATAACTGTGCTAGAATAACAATATAAAAATGTGGAAAAAATATCTTTCCCCAAATGCAACCATATTCTACTTTAAAAACTATCAATTTATAAGATTTACTCTGAATTAAAAACATTCAGTAAGTGACAGGTTATTACTAAGAATGAATACAGAATTTATATTACAAATGGATCTGCATATCTTATATTGCATTAAACCTTTATGCAGTTATGTTTGAAATATATTCATTTTTATTTTCTCTGTTGGTTCCTAGCCACTAATTTTATTTAGGGGTTTTTGACTTCTGAGCCCTATAATATTCCTTATCAGGACATTTTTTTAGCAGCCACTTGACATTCCTAGTATAATTAATTAAGATACAGAATATGTTTTGCTTTCCCTGGCTGTGCTAATATATAAGATATTTTCCCCCAGTGAAATTGCTCAGCCAGAAGGTTAAGATTTACAAACACCATTTATTCTGAAAATGTGTTTTCCATCCTTCTAATTCTCAGTATTGTCTCATAACATCACACCTTTAATCTCCAGGGCCAATGTGCATGATACCTTGTGTATTGCCGGCGGCAGAGGAGACAGCTTCCTCATTATGCAGAAAGCCTGAGAGAAACCCGAGCTTTTCTGAAAGTCAAATGTCTCCAAAAGAAATTGTTTATAAAGGGATTCTGGCTCATTAGTTCATTCAACACATATCTGTTGTATGCTTTTTCTGTGTCAGCCACAACTCCAGAGTTACAGGTGCACATTTTAGAATACTGAGGGCCGGCATTCTGGGTGAAATACACAAATAAACACGCAGAAGTAAATGTATCATCGGTTAGATGGAGAGGTATGAGGGAGAATAAAGCAAGAGTGGAAGGAGAGTGAGGGTAGGAAAAGGAAACTTCTTCTTCATCAGGTGCTCTGAGAAGGCAAAAATCTGATGGCAATTGCTCAATTGCAACACTTTCATAAATTTATGGGACGTTGTCTTGGATCAATTAAAATTTTTAATCAGCACCAGGACTTAATCACATTAATTCCTAAAGATATCATTTCTGATTTGAATGCTTTCATTCTTACATAAATCACTTAAATTTCTTACACTTGAAATTGAATTTTTTATTTATTCTTTAAGACAAGTGACTCCCTCAAAAGATGGACTTGGGGAGTAAAACTGCCTTTCGGTTTTTCCCTCGTAGCTGGACTAAAAACATGATCTCCCTTGCAGTTAAACAACAGTGCTACTTGCAACTATACAGCATGATTTTCTAGCCCCTCTTCCCATGGGCTAGAAATATACCTCCTTTGATATACCTGGGAAATAAGTGTGTGTTTTATTTGTCATATCCACCCTCTGAGTCAGAGAGGAAAAGAGTGATCAGCTGTGTTAAATGCTGCTCATAGGTTAAGTAAGAGAAAGACCAAGAGCTAACTACTAGATTTAATGATACAGAGGTCATTGCTGGCTTTGATTAGAGCAACTTCAGTGGAGAGCTAGAGTCAAAAGCCTGTGGAGTGGGCTCTGGGGAATATCACCAGAGGCAAATTAAGAAGCCAAACATGATAGCTCTTTTGAGAATATTTTATGAAAAGGAAGCAGAGAAATGAAAAGATGCCAGAAGGGGGATGTGAAGTTGAGAAATGGTTCTTAAGATAGAAGAAACAAGGATAGACGTGTGTGCTGATTGGAATGATCTTGTCAAGGGACCACAACTCGCTGATGTAGGAGAGCATGAGAATGGCCGGCCAATGCCACTGAACAGGCCAGTGCAGTCAGGTCTAGTGCAGGGCGCAGAACACTACATCCTGGGGGCCAAATCTGGCCCACCACTTGTTTTTATAAAGAAAAATACTCATTTATTTACATACTGTCTGTGGCTGCTTTCACAGGACAGAGCTGAGAAGTTATTACATAGACCATCTGGCCCACAAAGCCTAAAATGTTAACAAAATTCCTTAATTAAAAAAAAAAAAGGTTGCTGACCCTGTCGTAGCTCACAAATAGAGGCACTGGACTCAGACAGGAGCTAGGGCATTTCATCTGTAAGAGGACAGGAAGTGGGGTGCATCAGTAGGAATGCTGATGAGGGGTATGTGTGGTGGAGCCAGTCATACAAGTTTTCTGATTGCCTCTATCTTCTCAGTGACAAAGGAGACTGAGTCAGTAGGTAGCTGAGAGCAAGGACTGTTTGAATCCTCAAGCCTTTTTAAGCACCAGTTGGTGAATTTCTTTCAAGAGCTGACTGGTAAGGTTAGCATGGACTACAAAAGTTAGATCCTTCACATCGACCCCCAAAATAATGTCATTTTGAACAAGTTAACGTTTAACAGATCAGTGCAACTTTTTCCATTGGTCAAGGAGTCTGAAGATAACTTGTCTTCTCCCTGCCCAGTTCTAGCCTCTCTTTCCAATATTCGGTTTTCCTTTGAGGTTGGGGGACCACATGGAAAGGGACTTCTACTTGTGTACACAACGCCCTGCATGCTTGCAGCCTAAAGTGTGGCTGCACAACAGCAGAGTGCAGGTTGTGCCCACATTGCTCTGAGCCAGGGGCGGGGGTTCGCAGGACTGTGATACACCAGTGCTGGCCTCCAGGTCTAAGGGGTCCTGGGTAACTAATGGGAGACTACTTCATCTGGAGAATGAAATCTGTCTCGTAATCAGCAAAGAGGAATACCAGTATCAAAGGCAGCAAAGGTGAAGCCTTCCCTGTTTTGGTTTTGGAAAACTAAAATGATTTTCAACATGTCTTCCCCCTGGATCCTGGTCCATGACTGGGTCCCTGGAAGCTCATCCCCTCAACCAGCCCCGCAGCCCCTATCCCTGATCCTTGTTCAATGCAATGTATTACTGAGATGGCCTATCAGTCTAGGAGACAAGGTTTGACATTCAGATTCTGTTATCCAGTCCTAAATAGTTGGATACTCTGACCAGCCCCTGGGTGGACACATTGTTGAACCACAGCCCAGCTTGTCAAATTTCGGCCCAGATGTTGCTCCAGTGTGTTGAAATGTAGTGGATCGAAACGGCGACATCCAGTAGGTTGAGGCTGAGCTACCTGATGGCAGGCAGAGGAAACTTTGTGTTCACTTCTCTGCACAAGGATTGACAGGCGCCATCGCTTTCAATCCTTACTTCTACACACACTGAATTCTCCTAAAGCATGTGTAAATTGGAAAAGAAATATAAATTCATTCATCTAGTTTTCCCATGCTTCTAACAGGAACTCAGCCAGATTTTTAGAAAACTTTTGATTGAAATATAATATAAACATTAAAGTGAAATATAATATACATGGAAAAGTAAAAATGTACAGAAAAGTGATGGATTTTTGAAAAGAGAACACACCCATGTAAATAGCACTC